AAAGGTATTTGACTGGGCCCTGTTGGAAACTTGCAGTTAAGTGAAATATTCTGTTCTGCCAGGGCTATGCTTATGCTCTTGCAAAAGTACCATGGTATATGTAAGACCTTGGGGAGCTGGGAGCTCTGATGTCAGCTCTGGATTCTAGTCTGAAATTTAAAGAAGCTGAACCTATTCAGGGATAGGGATAGGGATAGGGATAGGGATAGGGATAGGGATAGGGATAGGGATAGGGATAGGGATAGGGATGAGTCTTGGCACCTTGAGAACCAGTGTGATGTAGTGGCTGGAGTAATGTATGTAGTGTGATATAGGGGCTAGACCTCTGGCTAACCTTGGGCAAGTCACACTCTTTCAGTATCAGAAGAAGAAAAAGACAAATGCAAGGTCTTTACACTTCTCAGCAAAAGTGTACTGATGCCTCATAACACTACAAATCCTAGGATTCTGTAGGATGGAACCACAGCAGTTAAAGTGGTATCAAACTGCATTATTTCTACAGCATAGATGCAGCCAGAGCCAGTGTGGTGTGGTGGTATGAGCACTGGACTATGACTCTGGAAACCAGAGTTCGATTCCCAGCTCAGCCATGGAAACCCACTAGGTGACCTTGGGCAAGTCATATGCTCTCAGCCTCAGGGCAAGGCAATGGCAAACCTCCTCTGAACAAATCTTGCTAGGAAAACCCCACTCTTTTGTTCACCTTAGAGCTGCATAAGTCAGAAGCAACTTGAAGGCCCACAATGACACAAACAACAACTCAGCACCTTGGGCAGCTCTTTTAAAGGTCAGCCCAAAACCCAGAGCAGATTCAACATCCACTGATATTGAAACAACCAGCTGTCATTGAGATATACTCACACGACATACGCTTGTTTTGATCACAGATATTCAAAAGGCCCTCTGTGTATTGCTGCTGTTGTGAGCTTTTAGCCAGACAGAAGGAGGAGGATATGAACAGCTGGCAAGCAAGAAAGAGAAATCTTCCCTAAATCATTTTAACAGTCAAATTATAACAAGGTTGTTAGGATTCACAGTCTGTGGGCTCCAAATGCAGAGTAGCAGATACTTGCTACTGTCATTGTCTCCCTCCTTCATATACACACACATACACACACACACACACTGGTGTGTTGATTTAATTTGCTTCCAACCTTCCCAGACTCTGCAGACAGGTAAGGTCACCTTTGCTGTTCCTGCAACAGCTTGGACCTGCTGTCTGTCTTATGTGGGAGAAGTCCTCTAATGATTTTGTGTTTGATGGACTTCATGGACTCGCAGTGCCTGGCGATATCTCTACCGCCTTCTGCATGCTCTGCCTGTTAAAAAGGCTTCCTGCTGACCTGGATAGGTTGCTGGCTCTTCTGGAAAGAGGTAGAAAGGGAGAAAATAAGAGTGAAAAGACAGAAGAAAGAGACAGGTAGCTTTTGACCTTTTTCTCTCTCTTGGCATTGTTCTGTCCTCCTTAACTTTTCCAAGTTGTTAAAAAGGAAGGCATCCACACTGCACAATGATAACAGTTTCATACCACTTTAATTGTCCTGTTTCATGCCTATGAAATCCTGGGATTTGTAGTTTTATCGGATACATAGATTTGTCTATCAGAGAACTC